AATTAAAAACCCAAGCAGAACATTGAAAGAGCATGTGTGGTAGATGCTGGAAGCGCAGCACGGCTGAGTGACTGACCATTCAGCACCTATGGGGCTGGACAGGGTACAGTATCCCCTGTCCTGGAATGTCCAGTCCAGAGACACTTGTGAAAAATAAGCTCAGTCATAATGTGAGGTTTTAGCAGTTCCTTGTGCTGCTTAAGTATTGGCATGTGTTCAGAAGGCAAGAAGGAAATTATTAGGCACAGCTTGAGTGCTTTGGTAGGAACAAAATGCATTTAGATTTGGCATAAACACGCTACCCATCAGGACGGAGAGAAATTGAAGCAGGGGTACTGCTTCCTTCTCTGGGGAAAACCACCTTAGGTCTCCACGGAGCTTCCCTCGAGGCCCAGCCCTGCTGTCATCTGCTGCATGACTCATGGCGGGAGGTGTGCGTCCAGCCGCCACCTGTGCTGGGGCCTCTGGTTACTCACCCACTGGGGCCTGCTGATTGGACCCTCAGAAATTGCCTGAAGGAACAGTGAGGCTTCCCCATGACTCACACCCACATGCTGCATCCCTGACCTGCTGGGTCACCCACTTGAGGTCCTTGGCAGATGTGTGTGTTAGCACCACATACCCAGCACAATGCTTATTAAACATTTCACACTATCTACACACACACAAGTCGTGTTCATTCACACTAGGGCAGAGGTCACCCAATTCTAGGACCTTTGCTGGAGGTACATGCCAGTAAAACAGAAGCCCACAGCATTGTGGGTCCTTCTCTGGCGCTAACATAATAGGAGAGCCAGACAGAGATTGAGAAGGAATGGACCTCAAAAGTCCTTGGTGGTGGGAACTCACTAGGAAGCAGGGGAAGCAGGAAGGGGAGATGGGAGTGTGGTCTGGGAGGGCTTGAATTTCCCAGACGGGAAGTTTGGACACTGCTCTTTGAACAGAAGGACAATGTCTGAGCTGGGAGAAGCCCTGGCTTTGGGAAATACTGTGTGGCTGCTCTTTGCCAGGTGGCTGAGCAGGGAGAGGTGGCAGAGGGGAGGGCACTGGAGTTGACTGTCATAGCCCGGGCTAGAGGTCACGGAGGCCTGGACCAGGGTAGGTGCTGGCGTGGGACAAGCTAAAGGAGCAGGTAGGGGAGGCCTGCCTGACGGTCCCTGGGCTCCCACACTGGTCTCCTCTGTCTCTTCAGCAGCTGGCCCTTCCCACACTCATGTTCTCTACTCTTGATGACACATCTGTTTGGAATGTACCACCCTGACTCTTTAGAAGAGACTCATTTTCATTACCTGCCCACATGTCACTCCTTGGAAAAGGCAACGGCATCTCCAAAGTCATTCCCACCCCAGAGTTACTCTCTGCCACAGCACAGCCTGCATTTCCCTAGATGATGATGTTTATCAACAGGTGCCCCTCACTCCTCCGGAGGTCATGGGGACTCCAGGCTTTGCAGCCTGGTTGCTAGGAGGACGGGGTGGCACTGCCTCCTGTGGGTGGGCAAAGAGCAGCCTCAGGCTCACTCTGAGCAGATGGAGGAGGGGCAGGTCTGCACCAGCCTTGCTGAAGGAGAGCCCCTCCCTGCTGTGGACAGAGGGAGCGGACGCCGTGCAGATGTCACTTGGCCCTGTTCGGTGACTGGACTTTATTGTCCGAGGCTGGAGGTCTGGCCCCTGCATTCCAGCTGCTAGTGTCCAGGGAGAGCCTAAGGCACTGGCTGGAGCTGGGGGCCCAGGGCGGAGGGAGGGGAGAGAGAAGAGAGAGCTCCCCAGGTCACTGTGGCTCTGCTCTCTCCACAGAGGTCACTTCTTTCACTTGGGAGCTTCTAGAAATGAATATACAAAATACTCCTCCCAAGAACACAGAGCATCCAGATAATTCCTAGGGAGAAGTGGTGCCCCCCCCCCCAATGTTTAGGTGCACCGGGCCTGTTCCAACCCTGCTGCCCGGTATCCTGAGGGAGACACCCCCATGCAGAGCTGACTTGGCTCAAGAATACTGAAACGATGGTGTAAGCTCGAACTCCTTCTTTGCCTTCCCAGGAGCAAGACTCCTGGGGCCTCTGGGACTGTTGGTGGTGGGGGGAGAGGCGGGGAGCCCTGGTGTCCAGGCAGTGTTGGCAATGCAGTGCCCGGCCTGCTTGAGGTTCTGACATGTCCAAGTCAGACGGGCCTGCTGTGGCTGTCACTAAGCCTCTGAGACTGCCCAGGGCCTCTTCAGCCTGCAGCCCATACAAGCAAAAGAATTTTGGACTCAGCAGGGCCTGGGAAGAAGGTGGAGCTGAGAACAGCATTGGCTAACGATCTAGTGGAAATTTCCATGACCATTCTGCCCAGGCAAAGACTTCAACTGAGGTCCAAGGTGTAGAGACCTGGGGGCTAGAGATTGTCAGGGCCACAGAGGGTCACCCTGCCTCATTCTGCCAGATCTTCATCACCTACTGCCCCACGCTGAACCCCTGAACAGGACCATAACTTTCAATCAGTCATGACCCCTCTGTGTCCCCTCTTTCCAGTCCTGTTTGCTGCCAGATCTGTGATCATGCAACACTATGCTACCTCTCCCCCAAGGTCATGCCAATTCTCCCTGCCAATGGAGGCCCCACTTTAGGAGTCAGGTTGGGGTCCCTTTCCTTCTGCAAGCAGCCTTCCCTGCTGAATGGTCAGTCTGCCCTGCAGATTCCTGTGGCCATCATGGCTCAGTGACCTCTCAGCCCTCCTTTGGTCACACCCTTTGCTCAGAGACTTGTCTGTTGTCACCTTGAGCTAGGCTATATGACTTTTGCTTCTTGTTGTCATTTAACATCCTCGGAAACAGAGTCAAGTCTTCCTATAGCCCTGCCTCAGCTCAGAGCAGTTCTGCACACGGCATCCACATGGTTGAGCCTGTGCAGCCTTGGGCCTGCACTGGCCACTCTGAGAAGCTCACCCCAGGTTCCAGCTGGGGGCTCCAGGATTTGCCCCCAGCC